AGGTCGCTAACTTGCGCTCAATACACCTGCCTCCCCCTTCCCTTCTCCACCATACCTGCCACCCGTCCACCACATGTGTTTCCTGTGACACATATATGTCTCCAGTCAAATACACCAGTCTGTTGTTCCCACCTGCAGCCAGGCACCGCCCCAGGGGGAGGAGAAGGTGGTGCACGACTGTACCAAGTGTGACCCCAACAAGTGTGTGGACGTGTCATCATACTGCCGGCCAGGCGTCACCCTCGTCAAGAATGAGTGCGGCTGCCTCGTCTGCCCTGAGGTAATCCCCGCCACATAAACATTATAGTAATAACATCAACAGTAATATCATTAATAATGATAACGTATCACATCAATAATAACAGATGCAAATTTAGCATATATGACGCAGAGATTAAATTTATTTGCCCTTGATTCCCTATTATCGGAGACAGGAAGCCAATTATTGACCGTTCCCAGGATGCATACCAAAACAGTTGCCTAACTCTCGAATACCTAGTTACTACTGGATGAACAAAGAAGCATCAGGTGAAAGGAAACGTGCCCAAACGTCTCTTTCCTGTCGCGGAAATCGAGCCCGGAGCCGTGCGGTGGTGAACGGACTGCGCCTAGCCATCAACTACAAAAGCTAAAACCACATGCACTCTAAGCACACACACATCAGTACATATACATGTACAATGCTTACATACAAATGCACAGGTGCAAGGGCTTGACGGCTGAGTGGACAGCGCTCGGGATTAGTAGTCCTAGGGTCTGGTGATCGATTCCGGCGGACCCGGAAACAAATGGGTTGAGTTTCTTTCACCCTGATGCACCTGTTCACCTAGCGGTAAATAGGTACCTGGGAGTCAGACAGCTGCTTCCTGTGTGTGTGTGTGTGTGTGTGTGTGTGTGTGTGTGTGTGTGTGTGTGTGTGTGTGTGTGTGTGTGTGTGTGTGTCTGTGTGTCTGTGTGTGGGGGGGGTGTGTGGAAAAAACCCGTTGATTGATTGGCAGTTGAGAGGCGGGCCCAAAGAGCCAGAGCTCAACCCCTGCAAGCACAACTAGGTGAGTACAGGCAGGCACATACATATGAGCACTCTACAGAAACACACACACACACACACACACACACACACACACACACGTGCACTCAAAAGATAAATACAATTTGTTTCACAGACTTACTTTGTCCACAGCTCCACGGAGACCTGACGCATGCCCACCACGACCATTGCATCAACTCCGGCGACAACCACCATGACTTCGATCACGACCACACCGGACACGACGCGTTCTGCTGTGGTCTTGGACACGATGGGTAAACCACCACTTAGGAAGACTCCTTGGAGGTCCCCAAAGTAATGATCTCCCAGAGAAGAACCTTACTTGGGAACCTCTAGGGAAGAGTTCGAGGACAGGCCCTAGCAGATAACGAATAGAAGACTAACCCTTGGAGAGTTATATCCTCATAGAGTTATATCCTCATAATTATAGAGTTAACCCTTATAGAGTTATATCCTCATAGAGTTATATCCTCATAATTATATCCTCATAGACACCAACCCAGACCAGACTCCCTTAGGTCACTAAGGACAGACCCCTATGTCACCATGGATAGACCCGCAGGTGCCGAAGGACATACGCCTTGTAGAGCCTCCAAAGTAATACCCAGCCAGGAGAGACCTTCATATCGGGACCCTATCAAGAAGACTCGGAAGAGGGAGCCACAGAAAAAGTTCAACAGAAGCTTTTCCTAGTGAGGAGTCCTTACCTATTTTCCTGATTTGTCTTGGGTATTTATCCAGATATAATTTGACAACTACTTGTTATTTCTAAATAAATAAAGATTTATAACTGACATAAGAAACTTGATTTAGCAGCTGTTATTAGACCTAACTTGTGTAATGTTATGTTCTGAAATAAATGTTTAATACAAAAAAGTTACTCGTTTATTATATCTCCAATATTTTACTTGTTGTTTATGAGTTACATGTTAATTAATGTACCAAATTAGTTATGAAAATTCCTATAGAGTAGAAATTTAATCAATATAAATAAAAATGGAAATGTTCGTTTGTTCAAAAGTTCTTCACCGGTTGCTTTGGAATTTTCACACAACGTTCCATTCGCATCCGAGCGGGTTTTTATATGCATACTATATAGATGTCACGTCTGTAACGGGAAAAAACATGCTTTTTGGAAAAACTGTGTTTTTCATGTGAGGAAAATCTTCGAAACCTCTTTACCAATTGCTTTCAAATTTTGACACAACGTTGCATTCGAATAGGCGCGTGTTTCTATATACCTACTATATACATGCCTCACCTTTGACAGGAAAAAAAACATGCGTTTTTTTAAAAACACAACGCCATCAGTTGGAAGAACAATTTTTGCTGCAATCTCCGAAAGTTCTTCACCGATTGCTTTGAAATTTTGAAACAACATTCCATTCGAATAAGCGCGTGTTTTTATATACCTACTATATAGATGCAACACCTATGACAGGTAAAAACAATTTTTTTAAACAGCGCCGTCTGTTGCACGCAAGAGCAACATACGCTATACTAGATATGTTACAATTCTATTTCAATGTTTCCGATAGTATATATAAATTGAATTTTCATAGATTTTGATTTATTTTCATTTTGATTTAATTATTTTGTGTGACATTGCCTTGGAATTGAGCAGTGTTGTTTACCATACCGTTCATTTCATGAGTATAGTTTATTTGTTAATTTTTTCATTGTTTTTCATGTCCTTTTTTTTAAATGTTCTTTTTATTTTCAGTGATGGGAACATCAGATCATTTGATGTTCCCAATTTTCTGATAGGGAATATCACATTATTTGGGAATGCATCGAACGAGGGAGTGGGTGATGGTGGGGAGGACGAGGGGACGGGAGAGTTGGTTATGGTGGGGACGAGGGGAAGGGGGAATGGAGAATGTTGGGGAGGACAAGGGGACAGGGGAGTGTGGGATGGTGGGGAGGAATAGAGGACAGGGGAGGGGAGGAATGGTAGGGAGGACGAGGGGACGTGAGAGTGGGAGATGGTGGGGTGGACAACGGGACTGTGGAGTGGGGAGGACGAGGGGATGGTATAATGGGGGAGGGTGGGGAGTACAAGGGGTCGGGGGAGAGGGGAATGGTGGGAAGCACGAGGGGAACGGGGGAGAGGGGAATGGTTGGAAGGATGAGGGGGAAGGGGGAGTGGGGAATAGTTGGGATACACCCACCTGTCAGTGTTGGGCCAACACTGACAGGTGGGTGTATCTGGACTAACTATAAGGCCAACACTGACATGAGGGTGTATCTGGACTAACTATAAGACCAACACTGACATGAGGGTGTATCTGGACTAACTATAAGACCAACACTGACATGAGGGTGTATCTGGACTAACTATAAGGCCAACACTGACATGAAGGTGTATCTGGACTAACTATAAGACCAACACTGACATGAGGGTGTATCTGGACTAACTATAAGGCCAACACTGACAGGTGGGTGTATCTGGACTAACTATAAGGCCAACACTGACAGGTGGGTGTATCTGGACTAACTATAAGGCCAACACTGACAGGTGGGTGTATCTGGACTAACTATAAGGCCAACACTGACATGAGGGTGTATCTGGACTAACTATAAGGCCAACACTGACATGAGGGTGTATCTGGACTAACTATAAGGCCAACACTGACATGAGGGTGTATCTGGACTAACTATAAGGCCAACACTGACAGGTGGGTGTATCTGGACTATCTATAAGGCCAACACTGACAGGTGGGTGTATGTGGACTAACTATAAGGCCAACACTGACATGAGGGTGTATCTGGACTAACTATAAGGCCAACACTGACATGAGGGTGTATCTGGACTAACTATAAGGCCAACACTGACATGAGGGTGTATCTGGACTAACTATAAGACCAACACTGACATGAGGGTGTATCTGGACTAACTATAAGACCAACACTGACATGAGGGTGTATCTGGACTAACTATAAGTCCAACACTGACATGAGGGTGTATCTGGACTAACTATAAGGCCAACACTGACATGAGGGTGTATCTGGACTAACTATAAGGCCAACACTGACAGGTGGGTGTATCTGGACTATCTATAAGGCCAACACTGACATGAGGGTGTATCTGGACTAACTATAAGGCCAACACTGACATGAGGGTGTATCTGGACTAGCTACAAGGCCAACACTGACATGAGGGTGTATCTGGACTAGCTACAAGGCCAACACTGACATGAGGGTGTATCTGGACTAACTATAAGGCCAACACTGACATGAGGGAGTATCTGGACTAACTATAAGGCCAACACTGACATGAGGGTGTATCTGGACTAACTATAAGGCCAACACTGACATGAGGGTGTATCTGGACTAACTATAAGGCCAACACTGACATGAGGGTGTATCTGGACTAACTATAAGGCCAACACTGACATGAGGGTGTATCTGGACTAACTATAAGACCAACACTGACATGAGGGTGTATCTGGACTAACTATAAGGCCAACACTGACATGAGGGTGTATCTGGACTAACTATAAGGCTAACACTGACATGAGGGTGTATCTGGAATAAAGATGTGAAAAACTTCAACATAAATTATAAAGGGGATGTATTTCGTGTCGTTGAAACACTGATCATCGTGATATTAAATAGAAAGATCTCATCATAATTACAAAAGGGGTGTATATGTATACTTGAGATGGATGTAAGACTCCTGCTTCAAGACAATCATCTAAAAAATAAAGGAATGTCCTTAATCTGTTTATTTCAAGATGGAAGAAAATGAACGTATATATGGAGTTCGATAATGTATTCTAACTTCCAAGTGTTACCACAGACATTTTTCTGTATGTACTGAAATAGTTCTTAGCTTTATTTTATTTCCCGGTATTCCTAATTCCCTCTCGTCGAGTTTTTTATTTTTTTAGTTTTCGTCTAAAAGTCGTGATGTTGGCAACGCAGCGCGAGGTATAAAACGGGCCGGGGTACCGAGCAGGGTTCAGTGAGTGGCGGTGAGAGCGGAAGAGCAGACACAAGGAACCTTCTACCTTGTCCACCATCACAGGTCTTGTACACCATCACAGGTCTTGTCCACCATCACAGGTCTTGCACACCAACACAACTCCATCAAAATGCTGCGCGTCGTTCTTGTCGTCTGCCTGGCCGTCTGTGTTCTCAGGTGAGACCAGAGTCATGTTCGGTGTTGTACCGACTTCTCTTCTCCTGTCCTGTCTACTGCTGTCCTTCCGTTGATACGAGGAAGGAGTCGGTTAGTGGCCAGAAACAGGCATTAGCAGTGTCTTGCTGTCACTAGTAGCATTGGAGAGAAAGACGAATTTATCGTGTTATATTTTAATAGTGAGTTCTGTTCATGATAGTTGTATTTTGTAGACAAATTTTCTTATGTTAAATACAGTGGGAAAAAGTTTTTCTGCAAAACGACTTGACTGGCGTCAGTTCTTTGATTACTGTTAGAGATCTTGTAGTAATGGACGATTAAATGTTGGTGTTTTATTAATATTTCAAGCTTCAATGGGATCTGCTCTCTCACTTCTTATTTTAAGAGTTATTTCTCACTTAGTCTTCTGCCTGTTGTGATGCTCAAGGTCGAGTAATTCTGAATGAGGTCGCTAACTTGCGCTCAATACACCTGCCTCCCCCTTCCCTTCTCCACCATACCTGCCACCCGTCCACCACATGTGTTTCCTGTGACACATATATGTCTCCAGTCAAATACACCAGTCTGTTGTTCACACCTGCAGCCAGGCACCGCCCCAGGGGGAGAAGAAGGTGGTGCACGACTGTACCAAGTGTGACCCCAACAAGTGTGTGGACGTGTCACAATACTGCCGGCCAGGCGTCACCCGCGTCAAGAATGAGTGCGGCTGCCTCGTCTGCCCTGAGGTAATCCTCGCCACATAAACATTATAGTAATAACATCAACAGTAATATCATTAATAATGATAACGTATCTCATCAATAATAACAGATGCAAATTTAGCATATATGACGCAGAGATTAAATTTATTTGCCCTTGATTCCCTATTATCGGAGACAGGAAGCCAATTATTGACCGTTCCCAGGATGCATACCAAAACAGTTGCCTAACTCTCGAATACCTAGTTATTACTGGATGAACAAAGAAGCATCAGGTGAAAGGAAACGTGCCCAAACGTCTCTTTCCTGTCGCGGAATCGAGCCCGGAGCCGTGCGGTGGTGAACCGACTGTGCCTAGCCATCAACTACAAAAGCTAAAACCACATGCACTCTAAGCACACACACATCAGTACATATACATGTACAAAGCATACATACAAATGCACAGGTGCAAGGGCTTGACGGCTGAGTGGACAGCGCTCGGGATTAGTAGTCCTAGGGTCTGGGGATCGATTCCGGCGGACCCGGAAACAAATGGGCTGAGTTTCTTTCACCCTGATGCACCTGTTCACCTAGCGGTAAATAGGTACCTGGGAGTCAGACAGCTGCTTCCTGTGTGTGTGTGTGTGTGTGTGTGTGTGTGTGTGTGTGTGTGTGTGTGTGTGTGTGTGTGTGTGTGTGTGTGTGTGTGTGTGTGTGTGTGTGTGTGTGTGTGTGTGTGTGTGTGTGTGTGTGTGTGTGTGTGTGTGTGTGTGTGTGTGTGTGTGTGTGTGTGTGTGGGAGTGTGGAAAAAAACCGTTGATTGATTGGCAGTTGAGAGGCGGGCCCAAAGAGCCAGAGCTCAACCCCTGCAAGCACAACTAGGTGAGTACAGGCAGGCACATACATATGAGCACTCTACAGAAACACACACACACACACACACACACACACACACACACACACACACACACACACACACACACACACACACACACGTGCACTCAAAAGATAAATACAATTTGTTTCACAGACTTACTTTGTCCACAGCTCCACGGAGACCTGACGCATGCCCACCACGACCATTGCATCAACTCCGGCGACAACCACCATGACTTCGATCACGACCACACCGGACACGACGCGTTCTGCTGTGGTCTTGGACACGATGGGTAAACCACCACTTAGGAAGACTCCTTGGAGGTCCCCAAAGTAATGATCTCCCAGAGAAGAACCTTACTTGGGAACCTCTAGGGAAGAGTTCGAGGACAGGCCCTAGCAGATAACGAATAGAAGACTAACCCTTGGAGAGTTATATCCTCATAGAGTTATATCCTCATAATTATAGAGTTACCTCATAATTATAGAGTTATATCCTCATAATTATAGAGTTAACCCTTATAGAGTTATATCCTCATAGAGTTATATCCTCATAAAGTTATATCCTCATAGACACCAACCCAGACCAGACTCCCTTAGGTCACTAAGGACAGACCCCTATGTCACCATGGATAGACCCGCAGGTGCCGAAGGACATACGCCTTGTAGAGCCTCCAAAGTAATACCCAGCCAGGAGAGACCTTCATATCGGGACCCCATCAAGAAGACTCGGAAGAGGGAGCCACAGAAAAAGCTCAACAGAAGCTTTTCCTAGTGAGGAGTCCTTACCTATTTTCCTGATTTGTCTTGGGTATTTATACAGATATAATTTGACAACTACTTGTTATTTCTAAATAAATAAAGATTTATAATTGACATAAGAAACTTGATTTAGCAGCTGTTATTAGACCTAACTTGTGTAATGTTATGTTCTGAAATAAATGTTTAATACAAAAAAGTTACTCGTTTATTATATCTCCAATATTTTACTTGTTGTTTATGAGTTACATGTTAATTAATGTATCAAATTAGTTATGAAAACTCCTATAGAGTAGAAATTTAATCAATATAAATAAAAATGGAAATGTTCGTTTGTTCAAAAGTTCTTCACCGGTTGCTTTGGAATTTTCACACAACGTTCCATTCGCATCCGAGCGGGTTTTTATATGCATACTATATAGATGTCACGTCTGTAACGGGAAAAAACATGCTTTTTGGAAAAACTGTGTTTTTCATGTGAGGAAAATCTTCGAAACCTCTTTACCAATTGCTTTCAAATTTTGACACAACGTTGCATTCGAATAGGCGCGTGTTTCTATATACCTACTATATACATGCCTCACCTTTGACAGGAAAAAAAACATGCGTTTTTTTTTAAAACACAACGCCATCAGTTGGAAGAACAATTTTTGCTGCAATCTCCGAAAGTTCTTCACCGATTGCTTTGAAATTTTCAAACAACATTCCATTCGAATAAGCGCGTGTTTTTATATACCTACTATATAGATGCAACACCTATGACAGGTAAAAACAATTTTTTTAAACAGCGCCGTCTGTTGCACGCAAGAGCAACATACGCTATACTAGATATGTTACAATTCTATTTCAATGTTTCCGATAGTATATATAAATTGAATTTTCATAGATTTTGATTTATTTTCATTTTGATTTAATTATTTTGTGTGACATTGCCTTGGAATTGAGCAGTGTTGTTTACCATACCGTTCATTTCATGAGTATAGTTTATTTGTTAATTTTTTCATTGTTTTTCATGTCCTTTTTTTTAAATGTTCTTTTTATTTTCAGTGATGGGAACATCAGATCATTTGATGTTCCCAATTTTCTGATGGGGAATATCACATTATTTGGGAATGCATCGAACGAGGGAGTGGGTGATGGTGGGGAGGACGAGGGGACATTGGAGGGGGTTATGGTGGGGAGGACGAGGGGACGGGAGAGTTGGGGATGGTGGGGACGAGGGGAAGGGGGAATGGAGAATGTTGGGGAGGACAAGGGGACAGGGGAGTGTGGGATGGTGGGGAGGAATAGAGGACAGGGGAGGGGAGGAATGGTAGGGAGGACGAGGGGACGTGAGAGTGGGAGATGGTGGGCTGGACAACGGGACGGTGGAGTGGGGAATGGTGGGGAGGACGAGGGGACGGTATAGTGGGGGAGGGTGGGGAGTACAAGGGGACGGGGGAGAGGAGAATGGTGGGAAGCACGAGGGGATGGCGGAGTGGTGAATGGTTGGAAGGATGAGGGGGAAGGGGGAGTGGTGAATGGTTGGAAGGACGAGGGGACGAGGGAAGAGGGAATGGTGGGGACAACTGAGGGACAGGGGAAGGTTGCCGAGCCACAGCAACGCGTGGCCGGATACAGTTTATATAATATAAAATAATAAAAAAACAATTAAACCAAAATTTGCTTAGACCAAAATGATGCCTTCAAAAATACAAGCCACGATTTACACGATAATTCAATAATATACACCAAACATGAAAACAATTACTTCACTATATTGCAAAGGGAAACTCTATTATCTTGTTCAAGATTTGTCTAGTAATACTCACAACTCTTTCAATATTGTCCCATAACACTCACAAGCATTCCACAACACTCACAAGCATTCCACAACACTCACAAGCATCCCACAACACTCACAAGCATCCCACAACACTCACAAGCATCCCACAACACTCACAAGCATCCCACAACACTCACAAGCATCCCACAACACTCACAAGCATCCCTCAACACTCACAAGCATCCCACAACACCCACAAGCATCCCACAACACTCACAAGCATCCCACAACATCCACAAGCACCCTACAACACTCACAAATATCTCACAACACTCATAAGTCTCGAGCTTTAGACACACACATGATGAGTACCAGTAACTGGCAGGCTACAAACAACGGCTTCCAGATACTTGAGTACAAGCACGTGATGGACGAAGCGTGGTAGGCGGATCCAATCATTTGGCAGCCCTTAAAAGACTGGTAGGTGGGTACCGACCATAACATAGCTTGAAGGTGGTTATATACACCTAGCAGGTGTTGGGATGGTTATAAACACCTAGCAGGTGTAGGGATGGTTATAAACACCTAGCAGGTGTTATACCAGTACGGGGTCAGTATACCAGAACAATACTGGTGTACAGGACCCCTTAACCACTCGACCATCACGACCGAACAAATGATGGTAGCCGAGGTAGTATAGGTTCGAGTCACTTCTGGGGTGTGAGTTTTCAATTGCATATATGCTTGGGGACCATTCAGGCTTGTTCGCATTTGTGTCCCTCACGTGTGCCCCAAAGAATGAGGTGATTTGATAAAATACCATGCCCAAGATTACCATCAAAGTGCTGGCAGGATGATGGGGAATTAACCTCGGCTACCATCATGTTTTGTCCGCTCGTGATGGTCGAGTGGTTAAGGGGTCCTGTACACCAGTTGTAGAGTGCTCCTAGCAGTATGGGTTTGAGTTACTTCTGGGGTGAGAGTTTTCAGTTGCATATATGCCTGGGGACCATTCAGGCTTGTTCGCATATATATATATATATATATATATATATATATATATATATATATATATATATATATATACCTTGAGGTGCTTCTATATATATATATATACCTTGGAGGTGCTTATATGGGTAAATCCTTTGTATAGCCAGTTTTAAAAATTTTATTAATTTATAATTTCTCTCTCAGTTGCTGATGGCGATGTCGGAACGTATCGACAATAAACTGACATATAATAAACCAGGATGGTACTCAAGCTGAAAATACTTGAAGGTTCCACGAGTTGTGTGTGTGTGAGGGCTTGAAGCACCGGCCGTGCATCTGTGAAGAATATATATGTGTATTAAATAAATAGTTTTTTAAATAGGACTCACGGGGTTAGATCATTGATTCTAGCTCATAATTTTCTCCATATTTCTTAGGCTCATAGTCACTTGGGAAGAAAATTGAAAAATTAATACAGAAGTTTTTTTCCCAAGTTTATTATGCCATACACATTGTGGTACCTCACACACGGTATAAAGAGAGCGCATACATACACATTGTGGTACCTGACACACGGTATAAAGAGAGCGCATACATACACATTGTGGTACCTCACACACGGTATAAAGAGAGCGCATACATACACATTGTGGTACCTGACACACGGTATAAAGAGAGCGCATACATACACATTGTGGTACCTGACACACGGTATAAAGAGAGCGCATACATACACATTGTGGTACCTCACACACGGTATAAAGAGAGCGCATACATACACATTGTGGTACCTGACACACGGTATAAAGAGAGCGCATACATACACATTGTGGTACCTCACACACGGTATAAAGAGAGCGCATACATACACATTGTGGTACCTCACACACGGTATAAAGAGAGCGCATACATACACATTGTGGTACCTCACACACGGTATAAAGAGAGCGCATACATACACATTGTGGTACCTGTATAAAGAGAGCGCATACATACCATTGTGGTCACACACGGTATAAAGAGAGCGCATACATACACATTGTGGTACCTCACACACGGTATAAAGAGAGCGCATACATACACATTGTGGTACCTCACACACGGTATAAAGAGAGCGCATACATACACATTGTGGTACCTCACACACGGTATAAATAGAGCGCATACATACACATTGTGGTACCTCACACACGGTATAAAGAGAGCGCATACATACACATTGTGGTACCTGACACACGGTATAAAGAGAGCGCATACATACACATTGTGGTACCTCACACACGGTATAAAGAGAGCGCATACATACACATTGTGGTACCTCACACACGGTATAAAGAGAGCGCATACATACACATTGTGGTACCTCACACACGGTATAAAGAGAGCGCATACATACACAACAACAAAACAGTAAAAGAGAACATCATTAGGCGCCCTGAGTTAGATACATTAATACATCACGTTAATGTGATTTCATTGTACATTAAAACAACAATGTTTCAATATCCGCGCGTGTGTGATGAGACAACAGGGTTATCGAGTCTTCATTTTGTTGGTCGAGTTGTATTGTTGTTGAGACGTTCTGAAGGTTATATTCCTGCTGTTATTGCTGGTAGAACATCTTTTAGGCAACGTAAAGCTTTCAAATACAAAAATTTGAACTTTAGTGGTCTTGTTCTTTTTGCTTTGTCACTCGATTGAAAGAGATGTCGGCTTGCCTATATATTGAGAGCCCTGGGGCTGACAATTTCCAAGTGGGTATGTAAACGTAAAGAGAATATTCGTCTCTTTCAGAGTCTAGTGTTTGGTGTCTGGAGAGTTCGTCATTTGGAAGTTGGTAGTCTTCTTACTCTTATAGTACAATTCATAGCCCCTTCGGGGTTGATAGCAATTCTTTAGGACATCTTCCTCACACTTGCGATCCGTAGAAAAGTAGATGTGTATGTGTACTCCCCTAGTTGTGCTTGCGGGAACTGAGCTTTGGCTCTTTGGTCTGTGTGTGTGTGTGTGTTGTCAACAATGTAATCTTCAGTGGTCTAGTGAAGGATCCCTCGCTGGTCTCCCGCGGGTGTCCTGCTGGAGCTTACCAGCCTTTGTGACCAAGAGCTGGGCAGAACTCGTCGTGAGTGTCGTGGGCACAACACAACTGATAAAGGCATAAAGCGACTCTCTTGCACCCAGCACTGTCGGGTGGGTAAACATTGGACAGAAGACTAGCTTCATTCTAGACTGTCACGCCCCACTCCCATCTTGGTACTATATACCGAGAAGAGACGGTAGGCAGTCTCCAGTGATGCGGTAGTCATTGAGAGATTCACCACCATCATGATCTACCGCATTAAAGTCCGATTTCGGGGGGAAATCAGATTCACCGGGCCCCATATACTTCAGAAAATTGTTAGCATCACGAATGCTGCTCCATTGGACATCCGCAACGATGCCGACAGCGCTGTACTTCTCTTTTCAAGCGAGAAGCTCTGGAGGAACTGTTTGCACCAGAACACCAGGACGCTCTACACAACACCGCCCTCATCATCCCACCTACCCGACACTACCTGGCAGAACGAACCATCTTCGTCAGTCACACCAGTGTCTACATCACCACCCAGGACCACCACACCATACTTGATAGCATCACTCAAGGAGCTCAGCTCTGACTGCAGTTAAAGTCAAGGTCATTAAGAACGACGACAACCCACGGCCTACCCTTAAGGTTACATTCTCAACAGCTGCAGCAGCGACCCAGGCAGTGGGAAAATGGATTCAGATGCTTGGACATTTCCATCACACGTGACACTGTCAAGAAGGAGCGTTACTACATCGTACGCCAATGCTTTAATAAAGTGTTACAAATACGACCACGGCACCAAGAACTGCCCACAAGCAGAGGCAAAGTGCAGCATTTGCACTCAAGAACATCACTTTGTAACGTACGTTTATGTTACGTTGTTGCGTAGATTAGATACACAGTGATTAGTGAGTTTTATATTTATTTAGTAGTCCTGGATACAGCAGTGTCGTAGACGTTGAGACGAAGCCTGGAGTAGAGCAGAGAGATGAGTGTGGCCGGAGTCGCGGAGCTCCATGTGGGAGAGCGTTGTAGCTGGATGAGGTCGTAGTTTGCTGTCTGTTCTGTGTCCAAGCTGTAGCATCTTGGAGACGATTAGAACTGGTTACGCCGAGTGCTACATTCTTGACTCGAAATTGTACTGTTTGCTATTCTCAAATCACTTGCTTATGTACGGTGACTACACCTCACAAAAAGATAGGAGGGTGGAAAACCGTTAAATGTAAATAGGGATAGGATTATAGCTTGTGTAGTTAGTGCTAATTAGTTATGCTATTAAGATAATGAGATAATGGAGCGAGTATAAGATTTACTCGCTACAACTTCAAAAACTGCCAGTCACCCTGCAAATTGTTTTCTCAATCGTGGAGGAGCTCACACCACCGTTTCCAAGGACTGTCAAGTACGACTTGACGAAATTAAGAAAACGGTAACTGCCAACCCAACAACCAATCAGCCGGCGAGCTTCAATATCCAGACTACATCGTTCCCAGTGTTTCCCCTGCCTCTTATGAAGATCTCAAGCCCCAAGCCAAGATCAATAACATGTGCCAACCCGCGGTGGACAGGCCACCGAACTTTCAAGCCTCTTCTCTCCACATCCAGATCCTCTTCCAAGAATTTAACCGCACCATCCTCCTGCCTCCCACATCCTTCCCAAGCTCCTTGGACACCAAAGCACAGAGCGAGTGTCGCGGGAGTGGCCGTGGTCGTCTCAGTTGCTGCCCTCGTTGACACACTGAGAGTGATGGGGAACCTTCACATTTCCCACGATCTGTGGAAGTAGGTAACACGTGAAACATCTCTCTCTCTCTCTCTCTCTCTCTCTCTCTCTCTCTCTCTCTCTCTCTCCCTTTAGTTCATCAGAAAAACAAAGTACAATTGCTATAACAAATTATCCGGTTTGTTAACTCTTCAATAAACAGGAAGGTTTTAGTGTGGCAGGTGAGCTTTGGCGCCTCGGGATGTGATTGGCTCATTAACTATTAATTACTCCTCATGTTGTGCTTAAAATTTCTGAAGATTTATTATATATAGCAAATGCAAAATTAAATTAAAACATAATTGTCTATGAACAACTCTTGAATTGTTTATTGTTATATGTATTTAAAAGAAATTAATTTGTAATGTGTCATGGGTGTGTATTCACCTAGTTGTACTTGCAGAGTTTGCAGCTCTGCTCTTTCGGCCCGCCTCTCAACTGTCAATCAACTGTCACTAACTACTTTTTTTCACACACACACCACACACACACCCAGGAAGCATCCCGTAACAGCTGTCTAACTCCCAGGTATCTATTTACTGCTAAGTAAGGGGCATGAGAGTGAAAGAAACTGCCCATTTTTGTTTCCCGCTAGCGCGGGGAATCGAACCCCGTACCACAGAACTACGTATCCAGTGCTGTCCATTCAGCCACCGGCGGTGTGTGTGTGTGTGTGTGTGTGTGTGTGTATGTGTGTGTATGTGTGTGTGTGTGTGTTTTACGTGTGTGTGTGTGTGTGTGTGTGTGTGTGTGTGTGTGTGTGTGTGTGTGTGTGTGTGTGTGTGTGTGTGTGTGTGTGTGTGTGTACTCACCTTGGAGCAGTATAGACAACAGCCGCAGGCACTTTCTTTGATGAGGTGGTGCGGATATTGGCGATAGGCTTCCAGACAGGGAATTTTGGTGGTGCATGCGTCACAGCCGCTGCGATCCATGGCGTAGCGGGGCCCGGGGGTACTGCCGGGGGGGGGGGGTAACTTATTGTGTGTATTATTGCTTTACTACTTATATTGTCTTTTTCATCATTATCATTTAATATTGTTCTATTCTCAATTACTTTATTACATTAATGTGAACGTTACAAGGGAGAAGAAATGAACCGTTATGAACTATATGTAAAAAATATTACAAAACTTTCCACTAGACGAGGAAATTGTGATGATGTACACATTGAAAGAAAAATAAATGTAATAGTGTACAGGAAAATGACCCAACATATTTGTTCAGAAATGTAAATATTTATCTCTGTGGTTACTTTAATATCTGAATCATGTTGCATGTGTTGAAAATTTACAGGTATCTAATTTACATATTCCAGTCTTAACATATTGCCAGTCACAACAACTTTATGTAAAGTACTTCTTAGAACACATTCTCATTTCGTCCAATCACCATACAAGTTAAAAAAAATTACTTGGCTTATAACAAATCCACAAGGGCCGTGACGAGGATTCGAACCTACGTCCGAGAGCATCCCAGATGCTGCCTTAATCGACTGAGCTACGACATGGTATGAGAATCGCAACCAGAAATTTTATCTGTCTCCCAGTGTGGATTTGTTCATTTGATACATCACGCTGTTGTGATTTCTGTGTGTACTTGGCTTATGATTGGGCGAGAGGAGAAAGGTGACATGACTGTTTAGATTCATAAATTTGACCTTCAGCAGGGTTTAATATTTGTGCTAACAGTTTAGATTACAAAGTCCAGAAAATAAGACCTGTCGTAGGTTTTTTTTCAGGGATATTCCTGCGCGGGCCCTAAGCCTCTGGCTGGCCCACTAAGTGTTGCTTGTTTCTGTTTTACTGGGCGGAGTATGAGTATTTATGACTCGTATGGTCGTTTCAGGAAGATTTTGCCATGTGTTTAACAGCTTCTTCTGCTCTGTTGAATCTAAGCTGAAATCTTAAACTTAACTGTCGTAGCTAACATATCTGAGGTGAGCTTTAAGGACAAATTTGACCGCGCTGAAAAGTATATATTCATTGTTTTCATGAAAGACAATCATGTATATGAAAACGATTAAGTTTATATATATAAAAAATACCTCTTGCAAAGAATTTCGTAACTAAGCAATGTTTGATGAACAGTAAACAAAGGAACATTATATATTAATTAGATTCTGTGGGAATAATGAACCAAGCGGAGTACAGTAAGGATTCTGGGGCCAGATTCACGAAGCAGTTACGCAAGTACTTACGAACGTGTACATCTTTCCTCAAACTTTGATGGCTTTGGTTACATTTATTAAACAGTTTACAAGCTTGAAAACTTCCCAATCAAATGTTGTTATAAACATCCTCCTGGTGGTTCGGAGCTCATAGACTGTTTAATAATTGTAAACAAAGCCGCCAAAGATTGAAAAAAGATGTACACGTTCGTAAGTGCTTGCATAACTGCTTTGTGAATCTGGCCCCTGACCTTCCTCGAGAGCTTGTGACGTTGTAACACACGACCAGACTCAGCTTGTCGCTGATACAAAGGTTTAGAGCAGGGCGACACCCGACGACAGTTCAGGCGATAATGAGTTTGGTCTCACCTGAGAACGCAGACGGCCAGGCAGACGACAAGCAACACCCGCAACATTTTGTGTGGTGGTAGTGGACAAGGGAAGTGGCGGCGTGTCTGCTCCTCCGCTCGCACCGCAGGTCACTGAAGTCTCTCCGGCACCCCGCCTTGTTTTATACCCCTCCCCCCCCCCACGCCCCCCACAGGAGAAACTCAGCTGCCAGGGGGCGCGGCACTCCCTCCCTCCTGCCGCTGGTGTTGCGGTAAGCCTTCGAGTGCGCCGAAACATGTACTAAAAGTATTAAGTTACGTTTTATATGTGAATAATAATAATTTTAGACTATAACGACATTTTTCGTATCTGTAGTATAAGACAGAATGTCTGTCTGTTCAAAATTGGAGGCCAAACACTTTGGGCTGGTCTCACCCAAAATGACAAGGGGAATGGTCTGGGGTACGGGAGAAACATAGGCTGGTCGGGATCGCCACAATACAGAAGGGAACAGCGTGCCAGGGTCACATTCAGACCCCCACGACGATTGTTGACACAGCCCGCCAGCTACACAGCTAAATATTTTGAAAACAAACTTTAAAATAAAAAAATATAATAGTAATATGCACCATTATTCACTGAGCTCGTTAAAATTAACAGAAACTTCCTGCCCTCAATGCCCGCTAAGCTCCTCTCCTCGGCGACCACCCACACATTAGACAAAAATATTTTGAATAAGACAGACAGACAGACAGACAGACAGACAGACAGACAGACAGACAGACAGACAGACAGACAGACAGACAGACAGACAGACAATCAGAGGCACAGTAAGAGAAACACCATGCAAGAACACCAATGTGAGGTACTCTCACAACCCAATGTACCTTCTTGTATATAAATAAAAAAATAAAAAATAAAAGATAGATGGAGTGAGAGATGGATGGATATATACAGATGAATAGATGGAGAAATAGAGGGATGGATATATGGATGAATAGATGAATAGATAAATAGATAGATGGATGCTTTGATAGATGGACAGATAGGATACATTGAGACAAACCCGGGCAACGCCGGGTGTGTGTGTGTGTGTGTATATATATATATATATATATATATATATATATATATATATATATATATATATATATATATATATATATATATATATATATATATATATATATATATATATATATATATATATATATATATATATATATATATATATATATATATATATATATATATATATATATATATATATATATATATATATATATATATATATATATATATATTGACTACTGTTGACTTAACTATAATTTGTACCAATATATACACTCTCGTCAATCCTAAATGCAATTAATCTTTTCCAAACCATCTGTATATTAATTTGCCCGAGGCAGGAGCCCGGACACGAAGGCCCAGCTCTCGTAAATTAGAAGTGATTTGTGATTGTCTGGCGCGTGTCATAGGGTGGCTCGCCTTCATCCTTATTCTCCTCTTTGAGAAGAATTGGCCTCCTATTCCGAATCCCACTGATTCCTTTGAAATCTGAAATAAGGGCTTGATTGTCCATAGAGTGCTTATATCAGATTTTCCAGCTGGTATCGACATTGAATCGACATGGATGTCGTTCATTGAATGTCGATTGAACACTACTTGAGCATGTTTTGCCCAGTGGGAGAGAGAGAGAATGGGAGGGGTAAAGGAAGAGAGAATGTCAGGGAGTCAGAGAGAACGGGAGGGAGGGTGTGAGAGAGAGTAGGAGGGGAGGAGGTAGTGAGAACGGGAGGGGTGGAGAACAGGTGGGAGAGAGAGAGAACGAGAAAGAGAGAACTGTAAGAGGGGAGGGATTGAGAGAGGTAGGGAAGGAAGGACAGGCAACGGAAGGGAGAGAGAACAGAGGTAACATTAGAGAGACAGCCAGAAGAAACAGGAAGACAGACAGGAAAACACAGAGACAGACAGAAGGATCTGGGGTACGGTAATACCTGGTGTCCCAACTAGTAAAGTATAAAAAAGGGAATATTACTACCACCAGGGGGACGGAGAGTGAAGGAATACCGCATACTGCCTGAACCACCTGAAGATCAGGGTATTTTCTTCCTTTTCAAGTACTCATTTCTGAAATCAGGAACCATCAAAAGAAAAGAAATTTCATTTAATTGAACCTGCTCCACTAAACCTATTTCACCATTCATAATTGAAGTTGTGTTGTGTCAGTAGGAATATTTCACCACTCGAAATTTAAGGTCCGTTGCTCATTCGTATTTGAAGCTGAAGTAATGGTAAGGCAGTAGTCTAAATATATTATGGGTCCTGTAGCGCAGTGGTCTACGTCCTTGGATCATCAACAAAAACCCGGGTTCGGCACTTTTTCTTTCACCTGGTGCCTCTGTTTTAGCAGTAAATTGGTTAATTGGCAGTTAACCCAAGTGGGTCACATCAAGGGTATGGCCAGCCAGTAGTCGACTTAGGGGGAGGAACCAGTGGTCGACCTATGGGGAGGAACCAGTAGTCGACCTAGGGGAGAGGAACCAGTAGTCGACCTAGGGGGGAGGAACCAGTAGTCGACCTAGGGGGGAGGAACCAGTAGTCGACCTAGGGGGAGGAACCAGTAGTCGACCTAGGGGAAGAAACCAGTAGTCGACCTAGGGGGAGGAACCAGTAGTCGACCTAGGGGGAGGAACCAGTAGTCAACCTAGGGAGGGAGGAACTAGTAGTCGACCTAGGGGGAGGAACCAGTAGTCAACCTAGGGGGAGGAACCAGTAGTCAACCTAGGGAGGGAGGAACTAGTAGTCGACCTAGGAGGAAGGAACCAGTAGTCGACCTAGGGGGGGGGAACCAGTAGTCGACCTATGGGGGAGGAACCAGTAGTCGACCTATGGGGGAGGAACCAGTAGTCGACCTAGGGGGAAGGAACCAGTAGTCGACCTAGGGAGGGAGGAACTAGTAGTCGACCTAGGGGGAGGAACCAGTAGTCAACCTAGGGGGAAGGAACCAGTAGTCGACCTAGGGAGGGAGGAACTAGTAGTCGACCTAGGGGGAGGAACCAGTAGTCAACCTAGGGAGGAAGGAACCAGTAGTCGACCTAGGGGGGGGGGAACCAGTAGTCGACCTATGGGGGAGGAACCAGTAGTCGACCTATGGGGGAGGAACCAGTAGTCGACCTATGGGGGAGGAACCAGTAGTCGACCTAGGAGGAAGGAACCAGTAGTCGACCTAGGGGGGGGGGAACCAGTAGTCGACCTATGGGGGAGGAACCAGTAGTCGACCTATGGGGGAGGAACCAGTAGTCGACCTATGGGGGAGGAACCAGTAGTCGACCTAGGGGGGGGGAGGAACTAGTAGTCGACCTAGGAGGAAGGAACCAGTAGTCGACCTACGGGGAGGAGGAACCAGTAGTCGACCTAGGGGGAGGAACCAGTAGTCGACCTAGGGGGGGAGGAACTAGTAGTCGACCTAGGGGGAGGAACCAGTAGTCGACCTAGGGGGAGGAACCAGTAGTCGACCTAGGGGGAGGAACCAGTAGTCGACCTAGGGGGGGAGGAACTAGTAGTCGACCTAGGGGGAGGAACCAGTAGTCGACCTACGGGGAGGAGGAACCAGTAGTCGACCTAGGGGGAGGAACTAGTAGTCGACCTAGGGGGAGGAACCAGTAGTCGACCTAGGGGGGGAGGAACTAGTAGTCGACCTAGGGGGAGGAACCAGTAGTCGACCTACGGGGAGGAGGAACCAGTAGTCGACCTAGGGGGAGGAACCAGTAGTCGACCTAGGGGGGGAGGAACCAGTAGTCGACCTAGGGGGGGAACCAGTAGTCGACCTATGGGGGAGGAACCAGTAGTCGACCTATGGGGGAGGAACCAGTAGTCGACCTAGGAGGAAGGAACCAGTAGTCGACCTAGGGGGGGGGAACCAGTAGTCGACCTAGGAGGAAGGAACCAGTAGTCGACCTAGGGGGGGGGGAACCAGTAGTCGACCTATGGGGGAGGAACCAGTAGTCGACCTAGGGGAGGAACCAGTAGTCGACCTAGGGGGAGGAGGAACCAGTAGTCGACCTAGGGGGAGGAACCAGTAGTCGACCTAGGAGGAAGGAACCAGTAGTCGACCTAGGGGGGAGGAACTAGTAGTCGACCTAGGAGGAAGGAACCAGTAGTCGACCTAGGGGGAGGAGGAACCAGTAGTCGACCTAGGGGGAGGAACCAGTAGTCGACCTAGGGGGAGGAACCAGTAGTCGACCTACGGGGGAGGAACCAGTAGTCGACCTAGGGGGAGGAGGAACCAGTAGTCGACCTAGGGGGAGGAACCAGTAGTCGACCTAGGGGGGGAGGAACCAGTAGTCGACCTAGGGGGGGAGGAACCAGTAGTCGACCTAGGGGGAGGAACCAGTAGTCGACCTAGGGGGAGGAACCAGTAGTCGACCTAGGGGGAGGAACCAGTAGTCGACCTAGGGGGAGGAACCAGTAGTCGACCTAGGGGGGGAGGAACCAGTAGTCGACCTAGGGGGAGGAACCAGTAGTCGACCTAGGGGGGGGAGGAACCAGTAGTCGACCTAGGGGGGGAGGAACCAGTAGTCGACCTAGGGGGAGGAACCAGTAGTCGACCTAGGGGGGGAGGAACTAGTAGTCGACCTAGGAGGAAGGAACCAGTAGTCGACCTAGGGGGAGGAACCAGTAGTCGACCTAGGGGGGGAGGGGGAGGAACCAGTAGTCGACCTAGGGGGAGGAACCAGTAGTCGACCTAGGGGGGAGGAACTAGTAGTCGACCTAGGAGGAAGGAACCAGTAGTCGACCTAGGGGGGAGGAACCAGTAGTCGACCTAGGGGGAGGAACCAGTAGTCGACCTAGGGGGGAGGAACCAGTAGTCGACCTAGGGGGGAGGAACCAGTAGTCGACCTAGGGGGGAGGAACCAGTAGTCGACCTAGGGGGGGAGGAACCAGTAGTCGACCTAGGGGGAGGAACCAGTAGTCGACCTAGGGGGAGGAACCAGTAGTCGACCTAGGGGGAGAAACCAGTAGTCGACCTAGGGGGGGAGGAACCAGTAGTCGACCTACGGGGAGGTACCAGTAGTCGACCTACGGGGAGGAACCAGTAGTCGACCTAGGGGGAAGGAACCAGTAGTCGACCTAGGGGGGGGGGGAACCAGT